GCTTACAGCGAGCGTCTCTAACATTCTGGGGGCGAAGGAAAAACTAATCATCTTTTCCTAGACTGTGGTATTCGGTCGCGTGGGATTTTTTTAAGAAGGCCGCACATCTGATATTACTTTCGTCTGAAAAGTAGTAATCGGGAAAAGGGGGACGAAAAAACAGGGGTTGGTTGAGACAGTACTTACTTGGGATGTCCTTGCCAGCCCACTGGAGGTGCATAGCTAGCATCGAGTATCTGGTCGCCGCAGCAGCCCACATCTTTTCTGAGAGTTGAACCGCGGCATCCCAGGCTGTGTACGAGGCACCGAGGTTAAGAGTTACTGGGATAAGGCTATGTGGGCAAAAGAACAGAGGTTTTAACGAAGGCCCGTCGATACAAACTGAATAAAGGGCGTATTAGACTTAATATAGACTCCAAAGATCAGGGATTATTAACATAGTAATTTTGAACATAGTAAGCACCTTCAGTCAATCACTACCAAATATGAGTTAACTGTAGGTTATATTTGTGCGGTGCTCACTAACAAGATGACCATGCTTATGTGTTAGGGGGGGGGAATTGACAGATGTGCTTAATTCGGTTGATCCAAATGGGAACAATTCGCGGCCTCGCTAGGCAGGCTTTTGCGCAGCCATTGCTTTAGCATTAAGCTACAAGGCTCACCGTAAGCCGTGAAATTAATCATCCTTTGATCGATTTCATCCACCCAACTTACTGCTCGTATGGAATCCAGCATTACGGATACAGTACGTTGACTGCCCGGGCAGGCTTTCCTAAGCAATCATCTAGAATCCACCACAAGGACTACTAGGTACATTTAATTGTTAGGAGGGTGCGGCAGATTTGCTTATTTGTATGAATTTGAAAAAAGGCAACCCAAGAAATATAATCTGATAGAAAATTTTCTATCAGATTTGCTTATGCTTAAAATTTGTTCCGTTCGAACAAGTTACCGATTTAAAAATAGACTTGGCTTAAATGCCCCCACATGCGTGAGAATGCCATGGTTTTTCGATTTCCGGATTTTAGATAATGTTTTTGTTACTTTTTACTCTGTGCGTGATTCGGTTTTTGAACCTTACTACAGACTTCGGCTGGCGTTGACAAAAACGCCAAAGGCTATGTCATTTCTTTTGTGCTTTTGACGTTTTAGTGGATATACTTAAATGTTTGAAACCAATAAGAATACATTTTAGCATTATGATCTTGTTTGAAGTGTGGGAAATATAAATTACGCACAAATAAGTTTCAGTAGTCAGTTTTCTTTACTGAAACCTAGTTTTCAGGATTAAATACAGTTTCCGATACGATACGAGGATTCGAATCATCAGAACTCACTGATTCTACAAGTCTTCATGAGTTGAGTGAATAAAAATAGATTAAAAACTATTAATAGTCAGATCTTGTGCACGGAACTCAGATCTTGGAAATGAATTTTAAAAGTCGCACCTCCTGACATAATTGCACGTATGTGCCTTGCCTGTTAGTGCATTTTGCCTATGCCGAAACGGTCTAGTCATTGCAATCCTTTGAAGAAATTCCATTATTTTACGAAAGCTGCGCGTGCAGATACTTAAATCCCACACAGGTGATTTAATCTCATCTGCAAACAACGTTTTAGACCTCTGTCCGACAGTGGTGTCCAAATGGCGACCCTCTTAAGCCCGCTTAGATAGGTATGCTAGTAATTTGATTGCTATTTTTACTGCCAGGAAGGTGCATATTTGTGTCACGCGCCTGAGAGGAAATCGTATGCAGCAACAATAAAAAAGTGATTATTTTGGTTTACTAAAGTCAACCGCTATTCTAGAGCGCAGCACTGTTCAACCCCCAGTTAGGAAAGCGAACTTTCTTTTTTCATAGTAAAACAATAAATAAAAGAGTACAAGATAATACTCTTCGGTTTTCTTCAGCTGTTTAAAGTACTTTCCACTAGAAATGTACGCCATTTTTGAGCATATATAGCATATTCATTCTCACGAGCGAGTTACTCCAAAATCGATATCCTGATTAGAGTCAATTAGGAAACTCATGCAGATGTACAGGTGTATTCCGGTTACCGAAATT